AAACATATGTAAATTACCCCGTTAATATGAATGTCACTAATAAAACTTTATAAACCGTAAACCGAAGAAATTTTTAAGTTTTTTGAAGCCATTTATATGTAAAATTGCCCCATTAATCCAAATTTTTATAAACAGAAGTGAAATAAAAATTGGACCAATAATAATAACATAAAAGTTATTGGTAATGAATTATAACCATGCGTCAATCTGGCTAATTCATCCACTTTGTCGTTAAAATGGTCACCACTGTGACCCTTGACTTTAACAAAATTTAAATTAATATTATTAATGTTGACAATGTCATTAAGAATTGTCCATAATAAACTGTTTGAAGCTTCTTTAAATATATTCCTTGGCATCAACGGGTACTTGGAATTTTTTAGTGTATTAAAATGTTTGATAGAAGCTTTGCTGTCTGTGAAAATAGTGATCTGTGAGTTCTTTGGAGAAATTAATAATGCTATGATAATTGCTGCTACTTCAGCACGTGTTGATGATGGCCATTTTTCTATTGTAGCAGAGAAAGATATTCGAGGAGCATTCAATGCTGTTTGTAGTATTGCGAAGCTCATTGACATTTGTATAGTTCCCAATCCAACCAAAGAACCATCAGTATAGAATTCTAAATTATTGGAATGTTGTAATGTTTGTTGGAAACTTAAAAGTTGAGTTAGTAAAGGTCCATCTTCAATGAACCTTATCAACAAGTTATCTTGTTGTTGTTGTTGAACAATGATATTAATAGAATAATGAATTCTTTGTCGGATAAAAGATCCATGATAGAATGCAAACTGGTAAATTTCAAATAGTGGTAAAAATAATTGAAAACAATTAATGCCCAGTTTTTTTGTTCTTTGTAACAACACCGCATCAGCAGCTGTGTATTTATTATAACATCCAGTTCCTAAGTTGCTATGTATATTGCATCCTTGCAGGGTTCAATTACTGGAGCATCAACGAGTGATAGTGTGTTATTAACATACCAATGTTGTATCAGAATCGTATTGTTCGAATTATCTTTCTCTTGTATTTTTCCTATTACTGGAGTACTATTGTTGAAATTCCACAAAACTATCCAATCTTTTGCCCGATTATTTAATGGTAGCATTAAAACTTGAGATCCTTTAAAATGACTAATAGGATATACATATTGGGCTTGAATTAAACGACTACCATCATTTGATAAAAATATTTTTTGTTCTAATTCTTTAAACCACATTGGAGTCCTATGTTGCGACTAGCATAATGGACATTCGTTTATCACATCGTGACTTGGATTTCATTGGCTAAATTTTACAATGATCACCCTCCAAAAAATCACACTAAAATCAAATTTTATTGGCTTGAAGATCTTTTACAAAAACACATAATTTATAATTTATATATATATACAACTTTAAACAATTACTATTAATAAAAATTTTATTTTTCAAATTGTCAAATATTAAAATTGTTTTAGGACAGTCAACATCCAATGTAGTTAATTGAATATGAATATAAAATGTATGCATAAAATCATAATAAATAGTTTCTTTTGCAATCCCAATCATTTTTCCTCTTTGCATTGGGTGGGTAATTAACCAAATATGAAGAAGAATGCACTTCAAAAATTATAAATGCTACAATTATGAATACATGTGTTTTTTTCCTACCAAAAAAATGTAGATTTCCCATCTAATATTAACACATTCACATCATTTTGAATGATATCAATTATTCATATGCCTATATATCCCTTCCACATATAAATTGAATTTTACATCATGATCAACCTTTAATGTTATTAAATATGCAATGAAGTATACCTATTATTTATATTAGTTGTAATACACCTTATTATCTATCTAATTTTGATTTTCTTTGAGGATTCTCTGTTATCTTTGAAATAAAAAAAAAAAATAGAATTGAGATATTTTTCCTTATATTTTTTAATAATAGTTGTATATATATACAGTATAAATAAATATATTGCTTCTTTACCTGCTTATTATGTCTATATATTAGTTTTTCTTTGAGGATTCTCTGTCATCCTTGAAATAAAAAAAAATAGTTATATATATATATATATATATTATTTTATAATCCAGTTTTGTTTTGTTTTTCTTTGAGAATTGTCATCTTTGAAATAATAATAAAAATAATTTTTATTAATAGTTATATATATATATGTATATAATATATATTATTTTATAATTCAGTTTTTCTTGAGAATTGTCATCTTTGAAATAATAATAAAAATAATTTTTTAATAATAGTTACTGTAAATATATATGTATATAATATATATTATTTTATAACCCAGTTTTGTTTTGTTTTTTTTCTTTGAGAATTGTCATCTTTGAAATAATAAAAAAATAATTTTTTAATAATAGTTATATATATATGTATATAA